TATTTTGGAAGACATAATATTCATTGACACGACAACTATTCTTGAAAACATGTCCTCTTCTCACAAGATCTGGAGAGGCCGCATGAAAATGGAGTGTGCTTTCCCAGGACCTCAGAAAGTCAAGAGAATGGGCTGTGGGAGAAAGGGGGTGGCCTCCAGAACTTCCAAAAATTGCACAAGAAGAGGGCATACTTTCATGCAGTTTTCAGAAGCTGCAGAGGCCATAAGCCGCTTGAAGAATGAAGATCTTGTGTGATCTGGAGTAGCCTCAGATAGACTACAGGGGCCTCTTAATAAGAAGAAAGCATTGCTTGAAAGTAAGCAGTGTGTGGTAAATTTGGGAGTGCTAAGCCACTGGGGTAATCACACCTTTTCCAAGGCTCACACAGACTGAGAAATGGCATGAGGTGCCCTTTTTGAGTGGTAGCAATGGTGCTTGGCTAAAGCTGAGGCCCAAGGCTCAACTTCAGGCCAATCCTCAGTGTTGCCACTGAGTGCCATTGTTCAGGGTGGCCTAGATTGGGGGGGCGGGGGGGGAGAGATTGAGAATTGTTTCTCTTTTGTGGGGGGAGGTGTGACTGATATGCCAACAGTCAAGTATTTTCAAAAATTTTGACACGCCAAATCCAAAATATTTGACACTGTTGCACTAGATTAACCTGGCTCTCATTTTCTCAGATTTAATCACCAAAGCTACTGAAAAAACTTTCCATTACAGCAACACATCTGAACTTTTATTTCTGAGCATATCGTTCTGCAGCACTCTTATCATATAATTCTGCCAAATGAACAAGCTTTATTATTTATTAATAAAACTAATTGTGTTCTTGATATGGCTGGGTAGATTCTGTCAATTAAAATATTTGTTAGAAGTAAATCTAACATAAATCTAAGTAAATTGTTTGATTTACTTTAAACTCTGATCAAAATTGAATGTCTTAATCTCAATAAAACCGATAATTGGAAAGTGGAATATTTTTATCCCAGACTGATCTCATTAATAATCAATGTTCTGTTTTCTAGTATAAGAGGGGGCTCTAAATTACTAAAATGTCAAAAACTATTTTAACTACGTTTGTTGCTACTCTGAATTTATTGGTGTATGATATTTATGATGCAACTATAGCTTTTATAAGAGAGACTTAGAACTCAGTCACCTGCTTTTTAGGCCAGCAGCTTAACTACTACATAAAACTCCTCTTTTAGACGTGCATTGCAGTCTCCAGGTATTAGAAGTTTTTTAAAAACTAATAGATTGTAGGAATTAAATACTCAGTCATGTGAGGTAGAAAATTTTCCACAAAATTAATTTCTCCAAGGAAAAATTATTCATTAATAATGAATGGATGTCAGTCACAAATCTAAGGCTACATTTATCCAACATCTTAGTAGACAACAGCACTTGACTATTCTTATCTACTCTTAGAAGAAGAGTATTGTAGGGATTAAACCACAATGGAAGAGTAGCAGAGGACTCTAGAGATACAGACTAGACTGAGAAGTTAGAAGAACATCCTCTATTGTTGCCAAGTAAAATTCATAAGCCTATCCACAAAGTAATGGATATGAAGGTATTAACTCAGCTGGAAAGAAATTCAGAAAGACCATTATTTACGTAAATGATAGATACCCCTGAATTCCACACAAATCTTCCAAAGATAATTTTAAAAACCAGAAAAATTATAAGCAAACTGAATTTTTGTGCATTGCCAATTTCTTCATTTTTCCACTTAAATTGTGAAATTCAGCAGAAACTAGCCTTGGAGATTTTGTATACATTTATAGCAGCATTGTGGCCTAGTGGTAAAGGCGTTTGCTTCCCACTCAGAAGGTTGCGAGTTCAATCTTAGGAAGCAGCAGATGTTTCTCTCCTAGGGTAGAAAGAAAAAAAATATCTGCTGTGAACTCCACTTGCCGTCAGGAAGGGCATCTAGCCAGTAAACGTTCATGTTCATCCAGTTGCTCCAACTCTTTCCCAAATTAAGGGATTATATAATTGTAACCTTTAGATGTAAAACTTTGGAAAGGAAACCTTTAGCAAAATCTGGTTTCTCTTAAAGACACTTAGAGAACTATAGAGTTGGCATTAGCCAACTCATTTTCTTATTAGAACTGAACGCTCATTTTTCTACTTCAGCTTTTGGCTACACAAAAGTTGTTGATAATAATCCTCAATAATCCTTCATCAATTTGCACTACTGACAAATAAATGAGATTGCATCTACAGTGATTCAAAATTATTTTATTTATGTAATAATTTCAATTTCAATTTTCTAATGCATAGTCTCAATTAGCAAAAAATACATCATACACATTATTCTGAATTCATTATAATTAAAAGTCACTGGCATGCACTGACATAAGTTTTCATATTGTCTCTACAAACTCAAAAACTTCAGAAGCAGATGCTTCTATATGACTGCTCTTTCTAGAACATACCAAATTGTAATAATAAATTATGCTTGATATTAAGAAGGGAATAAGAAAACACAACTGCATATTAATAGCACAATTTAAAGAATGCTATAAAGTTCTATTTGATAGTTAAAAGCAACTTAAATAAGACTGTCAATATAAATTATATGTTGAATTAATTCTAACTCTGCATGGAAATGCTTCCTGAGAGATTTGCCAATCAAAACTGTCATTTTGGCACTTGTAGCTGATAATCTTCCAACTCTACTTCATTCACTGAGCCATCAATTTACTCATAATTCTTCTCATATTATCATCTTATCAAAGAAAGTAAAAAAACATTTAAACTGTCAAACTAAATGTAAAATCAGATGGTAGTTTATTATTGCATGGGAGCTTTTCTAATGATAAAACAGCTGCTTGTGAAGTAGTGATCTTCATGAAGATATGAAGAAGGAAATGGTTAAAATTGTTTTTATGTTATTTTCGAACCAATCTCCCACAGCTACAATTTAAAGTGATTTAAAATAAAAGAAACAAAAAATACTAAGAAGCACACCAGATGATAAGAGTCTGATCCTATGCCTCCTAGTTCTGCCAAAGTAACTAACCAACTTTTGTCTGAGGAAAAAAATATATATCATATAAGTAGTATTTTTCATATTCGATAGAAAATAAATACCTAGCATTGATGCCTCTAAGCTATACCACATTGTGCCTGTGCTTTGGATAGAATAGGGATATAGAAGATAAAAAAGTACAGAATATATTATTTATAGATTTTAATACACATACAGAGAGACACAGTGTGTGAACAAATAAAATTATTTCTATAATTATTTCAACGTTAGCATGGAATAAATTTGGGCAAAGAATAGCATATTAAACAAATATTAGACCTAAAAATTGATAATTCTCAACATTTAACCTGTGCATACTGATAAATACCTTACTATAATAAAAAGGCTTTTTATTTTTTTTAACCCTGAGAATCATGCATAGAATCAAACTGGAAACCACTGAGTTGGTCTTAAGAGTCTTGGCCTAACACTCAACTGTCACTTCTAGCTGGGGTGAAATTTACTTACTTTCGCTACCGGTTCACAAATTTGAGTACGCGCACACATGTGCGCCGCCTTCTGCGCATGCGGAGAGGGTCAAAAATGGGATTTGATGACGTCCGAGCGGGTGGGCGGAGCCTCCCGCTGCCAGCGCTACCGGTTCACCCGAGCCAGATAGAACCGGTTGAATTTCACCAGTGCTGCTAGCCCATTTGTAAAAAAGGCTATAAAGCCACCCCATCTTAAAGTACTATATTTTACATTAATTATGAAAAAATCTATTATATACCAGATTATGAACTAAAAGTAAATTATTGTTAAATTTACTGTCACAACTAAAACCTTTATAGTAAAAATTATCCAACAAACTGAGATTACAAATTACCCAAATATATGCACGTAAGCATTATTAAAACTATAAAGTAATCAACACAGGTTACTTGGAAAACTATTGGGAAATGATTAAATTTACTGGTAAGTGTGAAAAGTTAAGAGTAGAATTAGCAGGGCTCAGATTTTAATAAACTACAGTCTTTAGAACAGAGGATGAGAACTATATAATGGAATATAATGAAATAATCTTCATGTGATTATTTGTAAGAAAAGAATTTCACTCCTTTAAATAAATCAGGAACAAGAGCACATTATATACTCCCTTGTCGAAACCGAAATGCTAAAAATAATTGATATTAACATATGCCAAACGGAAGGAATGGTACTGTAATAAAAAGTAACCAGAGGCTGTCAAGTCCTTTCACAGCAGTGAACTGGGAAAAAAAAACAACAATTAGGAAATAATCCTCTGTGTGATACCTAAATTTAACTTCATTTTTCTGATTGTAAACCTTTCAAATTCTCCAAGCGCATGCATTTTTTAAAAAAGAAAATCTTACTAACTCTATAACTATCAAGTCGTTGAAAAGTGACGTGATAGGCCACTGGTTTAGTCTTTCTCTGAACTTTGTTTTTATTTTTAAAGCGTCCTTCCAATGGAGCAGAAAAATCAAGAGGCACCTGGACAGCCCACCCCATTAAGGATCCTGTGGACGATCGAGCAGTAATCTATTGAAAGGGATGTTTCCGTGTTAGTTAACTTTCCCTCCCCTATTCGAACATTCAAGACAAGTAAAAAATAAAATAAAATCACAGGTAGAAGTGATGGGTCAGCGAAGTACAAAACACGAGGGAAAATAATTCAAATTATTATTACTAAACTCAAGTGTCGCACAACGTCCAGCACTTTCTTGCTTAGCGACCTATTAAGTGGGAGTCGCAGAGACCCTCCTTTTGGAGGAACTGGAAGCGCCCATTGGGCTATATTGCAGAAAGCTCATCAGCCCCCTAAAGTGGCCCAGAGGGAAGAGCGAGCGGCGCCAATTCCGCTTCTTGCTCTTTTTCAGAGAACGCGGCGCCTGCGCTTCCCGTCGCCGCCTGCAGAGAAGCTAAACCTAACAGCCCTCCCCGGTCCGAAGGCTCCCCCGCCCTCCGCCCCCCTCCCCCTCCCCGCGGCCGCCCTTTACTTACTTCTTGCCATCGCTACTGAAGAGCCCGAAGGCCGCCGGAGGAGCGGTAGAGGCTGTAGTGGGCGCCGCCTCTTGGCCCACCTCAGGCTGAGCATCCCCGGCCTGCTCGTTGTAACCGACGTTGTTGGTCAACATCGTCCCACGAACCGCACCGTTACCGCTCGAAGCGCCCACCTGAACCAGGTTTAGCCCGCCCTCCTGCAGTTGGCTCGCGATCCGTCTCTTCCCGGAAGCTGTCGGCAAACAGCAGCCGGAGCCATGTCACATGATCGCCGAGAGGGGCGGAGACCAGCCGGCCCGACAGACTTTTTCTGGAGAGTCGCGCGGCGGCGCCGTCGTTGCCAAGGGAACGACGCGAAGCTTCTCCGCTCTCCTCGCTTCCAGGATGACACGCCCCTCGTCACGAGGAAATCTCTGCCGTGGAGCCCCCTCCCACCCCCCCCCGGGGGCGTCCTGGTCATGGGATACTTGCTCGCTTTCAGGTGCTCGCTTGCCACGTAGGCAAAGACAAGCTAGGCTCCTCTTTGAGGTTTAAGCTCTGCCTTAGAGGAATATCCTCCGATTCCCATCTTCATAATTCGGTCAAGTCTTTGAATTTAATGAGGGCGTGACCGTTAAGCAATTTTTGCATGGTGCAGCCAAACAAACTGGCCAATTTCATTTTAGCCTCTTATGGACCTAAACTCAGTTGGTTTATAGTCTTACTATGTTGTGCCAAAGCAAAAGTTTCACTTGTGACCATGATCATGAGTATGTTCTGCAAATGCAACAGTAGCAATAGAAAAACAATATCTCTTATTAGGCTAAGATGGGTCCTAATTAATAGCCACCTAAGAATCTATGAATAACTCAAGTACGAAATTCTTGACTTCCCAATAAAAATATATAACTTGTCATTTAATGCTTGGGGGGCACAGATGGGAAGGCAAACCAAAGTGATGGGAAAAACAATTTCCATTGCTACTGATAAAATTGTTGAGTTTGAGAAACACTGGACCAGGGGTGGGTTCTACTTACCTTTACTACTGGTTCGCAATGGGAGCGCGCCTGCGCTCACTTCTATAGAACCAGTCTGAACCGGGGTCACTGCACTGGACTAAAGGATGACGCCAGCTCGTCAGAGAATGGGAAAGGGACAATTATTCTGCTACCTGTTTTCGTTACAGTGCAAATAAAATATTTTTGCTTATATTTTAATATACAGTGGTCTTACCCTAATACATCAACTTTAAGATATGTGGACTTCGACTCCCAGAATTCCTCAACATTCTGAGAAGTCCACACATCTTAAAATTGCTGAGGTTCAGAAACACTGATTTAGTTTCAGACAGATCAGGATCAATATGCATGCAGAAATACTGCATCATTTTCCCTGTAGTTTAAATTGTTTCTTTTATTATTTTACTTCTCTTATTTTATATTTCTATCCTTAAATATTGGAACCTGTGGAAAAAAACTTGCAGCAGGAGCTTCTCCAACCAGAAAGGCATGCCCTTTTATAGCATAGTATATTTCATTCCCTAATTGCCTCTTCCTGCTTTTCATATTTTCCCCCTTATAAAGCTTACCTTTTTGATAGCCACTGAAATTTGCAACATTGTATCCTAGAAGCCACCATCTCTGGTTTCTAGCTTGATGCCTTAACCACTGCATCAAACTGGCTTTCTTACTACTTACTGTATGTTGTACCTATTTGTTTTAAACTAAGATTTAGCTGATTTTACATGATTATTTTTACATGGTTTTTCAAATTTTTATTTTGTGAAATTGTACTGAATGTGCAGTGCTGAGGTCACAATTTGCAAATCTTGTTCATTATAATCTTACCTGGATTTCTTATTTTTACTGTGTCAAGAGGACTATGTATTGTACAGTATTAGTTCCAGTTACTGCATACTTGTTTGGTGTCCTCTTGTGGTTTAGATTATAAACTACAAAATTACACTTAAAAATGCAAACTTAACAATTGGATGATACCTTTATTAAGATAGCACAAATGTTATGAAGCAGTTTACAAGTTTTTACGTTCTCTAGAACTCTTCACAATGGAATGTTAAAATAATTTAAAAATTAGGTCAAATTTACAATCAGGATGTCTGTTGTTCAAAACTATTTCATAATTATGTTTATATACTGAAGATATTTGTCAGTAATGGGTAGGTTTCACTTAAAATTCACAGTTAAAATAGTGGTTCCTCTCACCCAAGCAAAAATTAGTTTCCAATCTGTTTCTACCTACAAGGATAGGAGAGACAAGAAAAGAAAAAGAAAACTATTTTTACACGAGCAGCAAAACCAGAGGTATCTTTGATAAGGTTTTTTTTTGAGGGGGAGGAGGGGCAACTCAAGATATTGTTATTAACTCTAAAACCCTAAATGGCACAGGACCAAGTAACATGCAACAACACCTCTGCCTTAGGTTATTTGCCTGCCTGTCCATCAGGAGTGAGTGAGCTACAGATCCCTTCTCATAAATGCTGTCATCTAGCAGGATTTAGGAAGTACACCTTATCTGTAGCTGCCCCTGTCCTATGAACATCCTTCCCCCCCCCCCAGAGATCCCAGACCCCCATATTTCTGGAATTGAGGAAAACCTTGAGGAGTTTATTTTTTTCACAAACATTGGGGTACGTTGAGACTGGAACCCAGTAAGACAGTATATTGATAGGTGGAGAAATGTTGCCTGAGTTTTTTATTGTGTTTGCAGTTTATTTGTTTTTGCTGTTTTTATTATCTTGTGAGCTACTCTAGGATGGCTATATGTCGAATGAATGAATGAATGAATAGGTGTCTAATAAATAGCCACTCTTGCTTGAGTGGTATCTCAACCTCCTTCTCCCATCCAACCCCAGACATCATTTAGGCATCAGGATTCAAGATAGTTCAGGTTTTCTGCCACATGTCCTAAGAAGGAGCTATACAACATCATCAGCATGTCATTGGTACCTCACCCCGAACTGACAGACAATTTCTCCCAGAAGGCTTATATAGATGTTAAACAGAATGGGGTCAGAGGAATGAATTCTGGGATATACTATCATTTAGCATCTATTAAAAACCTTTTCTTGCCTGCAGCAACCAACTAAATTTACTGGCTTGGTAGGAGCAGAACCACCCCTCCCATCCTTGTAGGCAGGCCAGAATAACACTGACTTTGTAGTCAATGGTATCATAAGCTTCCAAGAAATCCAGAAAGATGAGGATGGTCACATTCTCTCCCAAGTCATCCCTGAAGGTAACCAGTATGGTTTAAGTTTTATATCTAGGCCTGAATCCTTACTTCCATATAATTTCCTTTATCCTATGATTGACCTACATTTTCCATAACACCTGGAAGAGAGGCTTCTCAGACAGCTAGCTCTTCATATCTATTCTTACAAGATGTGGCATAACAATTTTTTTGCTGTAACCCCAATCAGATAATTATTTTCCTCTTTTGTAGCAGTTAATATTGAACGTTCCTTTACTGATGCCTAAATGAAGCAACTCTGGGAGTGGAGGGGGAAAGAGTAGTTACGGGCTATAAAACTTTCCCAACCAAAGTAGCCCCTTTGTAGGTCAAATTCCAAAGGCTGTCCTCAATCACTTGGCTGATTGGAGATAGAGCCCCATAGTGTGGTGCGTATATTTGGTGACAATTTCTTAATAAAGTTTGTTGAAAAGGTTTGCTGTGGTCCTAGCATCTTCCATGGTGTTTTTGTTCTTTTGTATCTATTCTACAAATCCTAAATTAACTTTTGACAGACAAATTGATAGCCAGTTTGGTGTGGTTAAGGCATAAACATAGAAAACAAGAGATTTCTGTTAGAATATTCATGACTGGGAAGACATGGTAACAAGGTCAGCCAATGAATAGGCATAGCAACTAAATCAGCCAATTAGGAGCTGAGACAGACTGGAGCCAGGGCGTGTCTTAGTTTGCAGCTTCTGCTTCTGTGTAGAGAATTGAAACTGAAACCAAGCAGTTTGTGCATGCTGTCTGCTCTGCTGAAATTAAACTGAATCTGCTGTTGGTATTGTAAACTTACTTCATGTATTATTTTGTATATAAAGAAGTTAATGAATCCTGCTGCATCAATTTATCTGTGTGCTTCTGGATTTGTTTTTTTGCAACAAACACTTGACAATTTCTTTCCAGGATTGAGAATGACTGGCCTGAGGTCACTCAGCTGACTTCATGCTTAAAACTAGAACTCAGTGTCTCCAGCTTTCTTGCCCACACATCAAACTGGCTCTCTATGACCAAATTACATAGCCAAAAATAAAAGGCATCATCTTATTGTTACAATTAGAAGGAAGGGATAGCTTCATCTGAATCACAGTTAAAAAATACATGCTGCCATCAGAACAAAGTCATGTAAACTGTACTTATTAAAATATTATTTTGAACTCTGCCATCCCACTTGAATAGTGAGAAGCTAAATGTAGCCTTTATAAGTCTCCTTTACCAAGAAAAAAAAATCTCCAGTCATGTTCCCTCTATAACAACTTATTAATTCAAATGACAAAGTACAGTGTTGTTTCATGTAATCTGTGATATAATACTGAAAGATGTTTATATTGAATATTGATTTTCTCTGATAGCAACATTAACAGGAACTTAAACATTCGCTTTTCTGCTCAGTCTCCTAACACTCTGGAGGATGTGCTCCTTCATGATACTAAATTTTACTTAATGTTGATTCTTACATATATCACTTCCTTTTTATCTTTATTTCTTACAGCAGTTTACTGCATGATTATAATTGCTCAGAAATGCTTAATAAAATATACTTTTAAAAATAATGGAAGGAGATGTATAAGTCCAAACTATAGAGGCAAATCCATTGGATGTTAAATTTTCTCTTAAACCCCTCCCCCCAATTGAGGACAAACAAAAAAATATTTTCCTAAATCTTTAGTCATACTCTTCCACTCATATTTGGAAGTAAATCTCATCAAAGTCAACCATACTTCCAAATACGTTGGTAGAGAATGAGATTATCACAGATCACTTTTGTACTCAATAAATATCCAATAAGTAAGTCATAAGATTTAATAAGCATTCTTGCAAACTGTCACTTTGAAATGTAGGGCCTAAGAATGTTCCCCTAAAAGAGCTGTTCTACTGATGGCAACAGAATGGGTAAAAATATGCAGCATCATAAGCAATGAAGGAGTCAATTTACAATTTATAACTGTTCAATCAACTGTCATATTCTCCATGGACTTCTCAGAAGCAATGTCCTGGGCATGATTTGAAAAGAAAGATGCAAGTTCAGATGAGTTTGTGGTCTAATCTGTGAAGAATATCACTTTATTCACAAGCAAATTTGATGAACTAAATGAGGTCTAAAGCAATGAGGTCTAAAAAAAATATTCAGTGCATTTGGGAGGCGATAACAACTGCAAGCAATAATAACATAAATATTATAATTAATGGAGTATAAACATTATGACTGCTAGGTGATGTCACTCATCAACCATCTGTGGAATAATGTTATCCTCAAGGGAAGTTGGCTGTTCACCAGATGTGCCTGTGTGGTAAAATTAATCTCATCAACTATCTGAAACATACAACCACTTGCTTACAGTTGCTCCATTGTGAATTTAGAGCCAGCCGCTATGGCTCTCTGCAATAAACTGGAGAAATGTACTGCTGGCTGGTAATGAAGAGAAAATGGGAATGGAAAAGAGACAGCCCAGGAATTGATAACATTTTGCTAAGAGTGAAACACTTAACTTATTTGCCCTAGTGTAAAATCTTCTCTAATATCTGATAATTTATAAATGGTTTCTGGGTGGAATGTAACAAATTGTCTGAGAATCAGATCTGTAAGCATTTGCTACACTCAAGTGCGCTTGTATATGAACGAGGTGAAAAGGCCAATAAATTATTTTCTTGGCAGATCAAGGATGAGGAATTTGAAAGATCTATTTTGGAAACAACACTAGATACACAGATGGTAATTTCTAGCAGAAAATTAATCAGGCTCTTTTGTCACAGACACTGCCTGCAGTTTGCCTCAATGCAGTAACTCTGTAACATTCAACTGCAAGAGCTTGATGCTCTCAAACATTCACATAAATTTGTAGGCAGTTGTTATTTTTTTTTACATTTTTCTGTGCTATGACTCGCTATATATGATTAGAACAAAAACTTAACCAAGGACTGCACCAGGACTGCTTTCACAGATTATTGCAGGCATCAGCAGGTTTTTCAGGGACGGTGCAAATGAGCACTCTTCCATGAGGCACTTGCCTAGGGTAGTGATTTCAGGGCCAGTTCTCAGGTAGTCATAAGCAATCAGCCTGATACTAGATCAGTCTGTTCCTAAAACAAGAGAAAGGTAGAAACTATAATTTCACTATAAATTTATCTTGCATTTGTTATTAGAACAGTCATTGTGATTCTTTCATAATGGCTTCTTTAGCACCTCCATGAAAATTAGATTGTGCACATTTCTGACATCCAACTTGCTAAAAACATTTTTTTTTTTTTTGCAGCTACCGGTATTTCAAATGTTTGGGAATGAGAGGAAAATTGCAATGACAAAAATAAGTAAACTGAAATCATGTACCATTCTGAGAGAACCATCTTGACAAAGAAAGTTGGTAAGGTAATAGTGGGTGTCGAATGGTGAAAGAAATCATTTCTGTAATTTATTACTGAAAAAATCCTCTATGCAAACCAGTTCTTTTGATGGCATGGAATATTGGCTTTTAGCAAGAATCTAGTTTATAAATTCAGTCATAGGATCAAGAAGGGCAAGTCAGATGCAATCTATTTCTCAAAAAAACCCCACAAATGAGAATAAGCACAATATTTGGTCATCTCTACTATTCTCTGCACTTACTTTGTCTCAATTGTCAAACCTCATGGTTGGTTTTAACCTGTCTAGCTCAGGGGTGAAATGCTCCCGGTTCGGACCGGATCACCAAATCCGGTAGTGATGGTGGCGGGTGGTTCGGAGAACCGGGAGGAAAAATCCCTGTGCCCCATGCCCAGCTGAGCCGTGCAATCATCAGAGGTTGTTTTTTTTTACTTTTAAAAGCATTTTTCTACAACCTCTTCAGCCAAAAAAATGCTTTTAAAAGTAAAAAAAAAAGCCTCTGATGATCGCGCAGCTCATCTGGGACCGTCAGAGGCTTCTAAAAGCATTTTTATCTGCAAACTCTTCATCCTAAGAGGTTGTAGGAAAAAAAATGCCTTTAAAAGCCTCTGGCGATCCCAGCTGACTTGCCTGATCATCAAAGGCTTCTAAAAGCATTTTTTTCCTGCAACCTCTTAAGGTTGTAGAAAAAATGCTTTTAAAAGTAAAAAAAAAAAGTTGGCCACGCCTACCCAGTCACATTACCACCCCCCAGCAAGCCACGCCCATAGAACCATTAGTAACAAATTTTAGATTTCACCCCTGGTCTAGCTGAATCACTGAAAGCAACTCAGAGTCTGTCTATGAAATTAGCGTGTCAAGAACAGAGTTGTTCAAGACAAAGAGGAAATGTTTATTTTGTAACTTCCCTGGCCAAATGTCCAAATATAAATTCTATGTCGGACTAATCTGTGAAAAATGAGGAGATATACAATTCATATTGATTGATGAAGGTCTTAAGCTTCTTAACTGAGTTGTTCCTTAATACTTGTGCAGAGACTGGTGGTTGCTGGATTTGGCCCATCTGTTTTATCATTTATTCCATCACTTGATTTAAATGGTTAATCCAGGCAGCCACCTGTGTCTAATGATGATATACAATACTTGATTTTTATATTTATAATGAAGCAAGACATTTGTAACTTGTTCAGTGATAAAGAGCGACTATAGAGAATTAGTTGCCGTGATTAATATTTAGAAATATGAAGTAAAGTTTTCTTTCCATACAGAAGTTGTAAAAAGTCCACAGGCCTCCATTATTTGTGAAGGCAGTAATTTTTGGATTAAATTTCCAAGGACACAAAATTAGCTCTCACATCAAATAAGGAAATACTATAAAGTACCTCTTTCATTATTACTGTAACTAACCACATTTGGCCTTTGAAAGGCATGCTGGAAGGGAATCAAAAAATGAGTAAAGCCAGAGCAATTATATATGTTACTCCCCATGAACTGTAATTGTTTTCTACGTTGTGTGTATGTAAAATTGCCTATTATATATATTCCTTATATGTTTAATAACTTTTTCTTGCGATTGCATTAAAAATTAATTTGGTAGTATTGGAGAAGGAATTCAAAGGGCTCCAAGGAAGGCTCATTGGGTCTGTAGGATCTACATCTTTCCAATCGTTCTAAAAATAAAACAGGAAAGCAAAAAGCCTGGTCTTTCATTGAACCTAGAGAAAACAAAGATCCTATCTACCGGAAAACTGGAAGGATTTCAGATAAATAAAGTGATAATAGATATGGTCAGTAGTTTCAATTTTTTAAGTTCTGAAACTGATATAGAAGGTGAATAGGAAAGCCCCTGGAGCCCGAGGTGGGCGAAAAACAGGCCTACCGGAAGGCCGGAAATGGGCCGTTTCCGGCCTCCGGAGGCTTCAGGAAGGCCTGCTAGGCCCAAAACTGGGCGTGGGAGGGTCATGGGTGCATGTGTGTGGGGGGACATGGGTGCACGCGTGGGGGGCAGGGGGCATTGTATTATGGGTGTGGGCATGCGCACACTTTCGACACCTGAGGGAAAAAAGGTTAGCATCACTGGTGTAGAGCATGGCTTGGTAATACCTAAAATTTCTAAAGCAAGCATCCAAGCTTTCTGCTTCTTCTGCTTCATGCCTGCTGGTTTCTCATATTCTGATGTAACCTGGGTCAGTTTTTTTAAGGAAAAAGAAAGGAGTGCTTTCCCAATTACTAGGTCAGACGCTTGTGGCAGGAAAGATTTTGATGGTCCTAGTTTATACACATTTTTGCTAGTGAGTAGGTAAGAAGTAATAAAAAACAAGTGCATTACAATTAGAAGTCTTAAGTGCAATAGAATACTACAGTATACATGTATAAACTTTGGAATCGCTTCTAGGGATAGGCTTCAGTGTAGTCCTGATGTCTGTGAAAGGTGCTACATGCTAACAATATAATCTGAGGAACAATGGCTGTTGCCTTTGAAGAGAGGGTAAGGCTCCCAAGAGCCAAAGGAGCAATTCTTTTGATTCTGCATTTTCATTACTCTGCAGTCTCTGTGTCTAAGGCTTGTGCTGCTGAAATTGGTGGCAAAATGTTCATTGACTTAGAATTGGGAATGAAGATATGAAATAGTAGGTAAATTTTTAAAAACCAGAAGTCAATTAATACATTACAGACTACCAGGTGGCAGAGTAGCCATGAAGGCCTTGGAAAATATATTCAGATCATGGGAATGTTTATACCTACAAAGATAAAAAAATCACAAAAGATACTTCTGTGCTTTTCCTGTATTGTTGAATGGAAGCAAAAGCTGGATTTTGAAAAAGGAGGATAGAAGGAATGTTTATGCTTTTGAACTTCGGTATTGGAGAAGATTCTTGAGACTATTTGAAAACAAATGATCATAGAACAAATCATTCCATAGTTCTCATTTGATTCACCATGACCAAATTGGACATATTTTGGACACAAAGAAGGAGCTGGGTCTCAATATTCCTGGGAAAGCTTAAGAGAAAGAGAAGAGATCATCTAGATCATCCCTGAGAAAATCTATCAATGTGCTCCCCAAGAGTCAACATCAACTTGAATGTACATAATCAATATTATCAGTGGTAAGATATTTTTACAGCAATTAAAAAGTGTATAGCAGCTGAGAGTTTTCTATTACCACTCCAATCCCTAAAGTCAATCAATCAATCTAGAAATTTTGACATCAACCACCCCAGTAATATCAGTGTGTCAACACCAGTGCCACAGTAATAACAACAATGGTGCAAAATAAGACATTTTTGCTCAATAAGAAAGTTTCTCTGAGCAAGAAGCATAAAAGTGCACAGATGTATCTTTTGGAGCTGAAGACAACTTTCCTGTTGCTGATATAAGGAAATACTTGCACAGTCACTAGTAATTCTGATTCCAGAAAAAGAAAAGCCAAGTAAATCTAGGGAAGTTTTACTTTCTAACCCTAATGTCTCGTTGTGTAGAAAGAGATATTGGCTGTTCCATACATTGTGTGCTTGAAACTTTGAGACTTGGCCTAAGGTTCTGCTGATTAGCTAGACAATTCTCTTTATGAACTATAATTTTAAAATATCTTTCTTGATCTGTGCAATGATAATGCTTATGAAAAGAATACCCCAACTAAAAATAAAGCTTTTTAGAAAAAGAACTAATGAAAAAGATGTTACACTGGCAACTAAAAAAATCACAGCTGCATAAAAATGCAAGGGAATGATGATACTTTTGAAAACATCTGAGTTCAAATAAGTGAAAGAAGGAATAAAAGTAGTTTCTTTGTAGGGGTCTATTCCTCTTTCAATAAAAAGGAAGATATTGCAGATGTTGTCCAAAGGAAAACTGTAGATGTTTCAAAGAGGCATAAAATGATTATGAAGCCTATTATTCCCAAATTGTTTCCATTTTATAATTTTTCAAATATTTTACTTATTCAATGAATTGTTATAATTTTAAATTTGATAATTTCCTTATTAGATTCTGGAAATATTAAAAACATAGTACATATTATTGTTTTAGAAAATCATTGGACATAGTACCCATAATATTCTGACTAAGAAGCTGGGCTTGCTGGCATATTATTAGGTGAATTGACAGCTGATTAGAAAATTACACTCAAAAAGTGGCTTCAAAAATTGTTCATTAAATATCTAATAAAATATTACAGTATTTTATAATTAAACAATTATTGTTTCTAGGGCTTGTACTGTTCAAGATATTTATTAATTATTTGAATGAAGTAGTAGCACAAAATTATATAACATATTCTAGAAGAAAAGAAAAAGTTTCTAAATTATTCTTACAGGTTATAACCAGAGGTAGGCTTCAGCCAGTTTGGACCAGTTCAGGCAAACCGGTTGTTAAGATTCTGAGCAGTTCGGTGAACCTGCAAATCCCACCACTGGCTGGCCCCACCCACCCCACCTCTTACAGCCACTTCTTTTCTTGCCTCGTCTGCTTTGGCCACTCACATGCCTTGCTCACCAGTCGTCACAGCTTGCCTAGGCTCTAGACCACATGGCACCCGCAGCCCAGCTGCTCTCCAGCTTCCTCGCTCTCAAGTCTTCCCCACTCCCTAGTTTTAGGTAACTAAGTTGCTGTTTTACATGGTGTGAGTCACCCTGGGGCCGTTGCATACATTCCTCCCGGGAAATCTACGCTCACTGCCCACGCTCGCCTAGAACCCCTGGCCCCAAACTATACCCTCCCAGACCAAAGCAATTTATCTGGCCTGCAGCCTGCCATGCTTGGCCGAAGGGCCATGGGGGGGGGGGGGAACATGACAAGACTTGGCTGCCTTTCGGGCCCAGCTCAGCTCTTGGGTTCCGTGTGGCCTGTGGCCAGGAAGCCCAAGGCAAAACGCCTAGTCTGGGCACACAGCGATCCAGTGCAGCGCTCTCCCCTGAGGGTTGCTCACCTGCTGCCCAGAAGTGGTAAGTCTCCCGTCACGGGTTGGATGCGGGACCCGAGGTCGAGGGGAGGGTGAAT